TTTTTTTTTTTTTGCGATACGCGGGCCTCTCACTGTTGTGGCCTCTCCCGTTGTGGAGCACAGACTCCGGACGCGCAGGCTCAGCGGCCATGGTTCATGGGCCAAGCCACTCCGCGGCATGTGGGATCTTCCCGGACCGGGGCACGAACCCGTGTCCCCTGCATCGGCAGGCGGACTCTCAACCACTGCGCCACCAGGGAAGCCCCCGATAATGTACTTTTACAGCTTTTCTTAAGGCTCCCCACCCCGCCGCCAGAAACATCCCAGAGTGCTTCAGGAGGCTACTGCTAAACCTAGATGACATAACTAAGTAGCTTTCCTTTCCTCTTTCTCCAAGGGTATCGAGATGCACAGACTGGTTGGATCCAAATTGTAGAGGATCTCCACGAAAGAGTGCCAGAAAAGGTGGACTTTTCCCCCTTTGGAAGTCCTCAGGGTCCAAGTCGAGTAGCTCAGTTCCTTGTGATCTATGCACCGCGGAGGGGCATTTTAGAAGTGTGGAGCACACAGCAGGGCCCTAGAGTAGGCGCTTTCAACGTGGGAAAGCACTGCAGGTAAGCTGCAAACGCCGGACCTTTTCCTGGTTACAGAAAGGAATGCTTTTGTTAGAGTAAAGCATTTATTAAAGCTACTTATTAGATTACAAGTTGTTTGAGAATTGAAATGTCCTTTATTATGTTTTTTTCCTGCGAGTGCCTGGTATATAATTAAGGATTAAGTATTTAATAGCAAAGGAATCTGATTGAAGAGGCCGTGATATGCTACTGAATTAAAGTCAGCTTTGGTGCTGTCATTTGTCCCCAGCTCTTACTTACACTGTGGAGGCTCGAAAGGAAAGATTCTTTCCAGTTCCCCTGGTGATGATGTTGAGTGAGGTGAATGCTTTGTTTACCACTGCAGCTTAGGCCTGATTGTGTTCATTTAATTTTCTAGCACATTTTAACAAGGTATAAGAACCCTGCTAATTGGGTCCTGCTTTACTTATGTTTTTGGTCTCAGTATTTATTTGTCTTACTAATGCTTCTGAATTGATAATAATGTAGGGGTCCCAAGCTGTAATAATAGCACCTTTTAACATTTTTCCTTTCTCTAAGATTTTTACCATATTGGTATGTGATTTCCTCAGGCTTCTGTATCCTGGCTATAAAATAATGGGCTTAAATAACGTTACCAGTCAGAATTGGCAGCCGCAGACTTACCAGATCTGTCTGGTTGATCCAGTGTCTGGAAGTGTGAAAACAGTAAATGTCCCTTTCCATTTAGCATTGAGGTAAGTTGTATCACGTGCCAGCTTACTTATGTCCCTCTGCTAACTTTTCCTGGTCCTTTATTTGCTACTTGTTTTACTTTGTTTCATAGTTATCATTTTGTTCTCTTTTCTGATTAGACTGATAACCTTTAAAGTTAAATAGGAAGAATAGAAAGGAAAAAGAAATCTGGAGCGTGTCAGAATTAGAAGGAAAACAGTTTCACATTCTGTAAGAATTTGTTGTATTTATTGTTTTAGTGATAAGAAGAGTGAACGAGCCAAGGACATGCACTTAGTGAAGAAACTGGGAGCCTTACTGAAAGCAAAATCTCCCAATCTTGGTAGGTGTCCTTCAATAAAAATGAAGCAAACTGTTATGTCATTTTTTAAAATTAATAGAATATTCTAAGTGGAACAATCAAAACACTTCAGTGCATTTATGAGCTATTTCAACTCCTTTTTGGAATGAGGTGAGGTACAAGTAATCATGTGTAGTTTTTACTGGAATTACTCTGGAGGATGAAATGTGCCATCGAGGGAGTATTAAAATTGGTAACAATAAAACAATGATTTCCGCGAGAACCCAGAAATCCTTTAGACTGACTGATATTGCAAATACATGATTTTTTCTTTCAGAATAAAGTTTAACTGTCATAAAAGTGAAAATCTTACTTTGGTTAATTTTCTTTCTAGATTTGATTGAAACAGAAATAAAGGAATTAATTCTCGATATTAAGTACCCTGCAACCAAAAAACAAGTAAGTGTATATAATAAATGAACTTTCTTGCTGAGTAGCTAGTACATATCCTTCTTAACAAAATCTTTTTCTTCCTATTTCCCTCCAAACATGACAGGCTAAAATCTTCCTTTGTGTTTTCATTCCTGTTCATCCTTTTTTATATTCCCATGTGGAAGCTTCTATTGTTTCTTTTTTTCTCTCTTCTTTTTTTAATTAAGTAATATTACCATACGCGGAAGCACATGTGTTTTATACACATAAACAAACCCATACATAACGTATATTCAAATTAAATAATAATAAGACAACGACGTGTATGACCACCCACCTTAGGAAACAGAATGTTACCAGGAAGTCTGAAGAGCCCTGCACGTCCCTCCTCCATCCCGTCCCCTTCTCCCATCCCTAAGGTAACCAGTCTTCAGAATTTTGTGTTCCTTTCACTTTTGCTTTTCTTTACAGATACAGCATTTCTGTATGGCTCCTTTAAAACATATTGATGCATTTTCTGCTTTTTTGGAACTTTATATGAATGGGGTAATGCCCTGTCTTCTTCTGTGACTTACTTCATTCCTTCAGCATTGTGTTTCTGGGACTCATCCACGTTGCTGCCTGCAGCTGCAGTTGACTCATGTACTGTGCTATATGAATTCCACTCTGTGACTGCCATTTATTTGTTCACTCTCCTGTCAGTGGACATTTAGCTTGTTTCTAGTTTTTTGCTATTAACAACAATGATAGTGTGCTTATCCTTGTACATTTTTGCTGGTGCACATGTGTAAGAGTGGAATTGCTAGGTATGAGCTTTGGCTGTACTAGTTGATGATAAATTGCTTCTCAAAGTACTAACTGACATTTGCATTTATACTGTGGAAGAGGCCTTGTAGCTCCACAGCCTCCGCCTCTCATGATATAGTCAGACTGGTTACCTTTTCCAGGCTCCTGCTTATAAAATGGTAACTCATTATATTACTCCTACTCTCCTCCTATCCAAGTCCCTCATAATGCTGCTCAGGTTCTAACTATAAATTCTTACCTGACACATCAATCCTCATGGATGCCTCTGAACTCTACTTTTAATCAGAACCAGAGAGCTAATGACTATAATCGTCCCTCAGTATCCTCGGGGGCATTGATTTCAGGACCCCCTGTGATACCTAAATCTCAGGATGCTTAAGTCCCTTATATAAAATGGTGTAATATTTGCATATAACCTAGGCACATTCTCTTGTATACTTTAAATCCTCTCTAGATTACCTGTAATACCTAACATAATGTAAGTGCTATGTAAACAGTTGTAAATACAATGCAAGTGCAATGTAAATAGTTGCAAGTGTGTGGCAAATTCAAGTTTTGCTTTTTGGAACTTTGTGGAATTTTTTCTTTCCAAATATTTTCAATCCATGGTTGGTTGAATCTGCAGATGCGGAACCCATGGATACAGAGGGCCGACTATGCTTGTTTTCTAATTATTTCGTGTATATTAGTCAAGCTCCCCAACTTTTTCCTCTTTACCTCTTTTAAGCTCCTTCAAACAGGGACCTTACCAAATACGTCATTTTCATAATGCACAGCATCTAAAGTAGTGGGATGAGTTAGTGAATACTAATTTCTTTCTATCCCTCTTATTCTACTGTGACAGTCTTTTTTTTTTTTTAACATCTTTATTGGAGTATAATTGCTTTACAATGGTGTGTTAGTTTCTGCTTTATAACAAAGTGAATCAGCTATACATATACATATATCCCCATAGCTCCTCCCTGTTGCGTCTCCCTCCCACCCTCCCTATCCCACCCCTCTAGGTGGTCACAAAGCACCGAGCTGCTTCCCACTAGCTATCTATTTTACATTTGGTAGTGTCTATATGTCCGTGCCACTCTCTCACTTCGGCAGTCATTTTTTAAAAACGCTGTTTATCGTCTTATTGTACAACAGGCAAGTCTCTGACTTTTAATTGAGTTTTCCATTCCACTGACAGCACTCATGGGCACTCATCTTCCTCAGGGCAGCCTCCGTTATTAAAGGGACTCTTGTGAGAAGGTGGGCATGTGGAGAGGCAGTTTAGGGCATCGGTCGTGGAAAGGAAGCTCATAACCCACACAGTTCTCATTTTGATACCATCTTTCTTATCTTACATCGTGGAACAACGAAATCGGGAAACTTCAGCATAGTGCAAACTGTCTTCTTGATTTTTTTTTGTTTTACTCTGCTACTGAGTTTTGTATGAAGCTATGAATTTTATTAAAAATACTAGGCAACCTAACAGTGAAAGTTGTGTATTGTTTTACAACAGTTAAGGGGGAAAAGAAACCAGTTTAGACTTTGGAAGACTGAATAATAGGACAGTGAGCCAGCGGCTAGCTTGTATGATAGTAGACAGAACGGAGGCAGATGACATTTTCCAGGGTATTCGCCTCTTTTGGTCACTTTCTTTATATCCTCCACCCAGTTGCCTCATCATAGGCCGGACCAACCTCTTGAGCCGCCCTCTACGCCCATTTCTCCTCCACAGACACACAGAGTTGTTGTGTTACAATCTGATATTTGTCCCATGCCACATTCTTAGCCTTACCTTTTAGACTATCTAATCTCATCAGTCAAAATCCAATTTAATGTGCTGATATGAACAGATAAGTAGGAACTTCAGGTGCTGTGTCTGACCCATGTGTGATTCTGATTGTTGCTTCTTTAGGCATGAAGGGGGATTTTGGAACTGATGATAACCACTCTTAAATATCTACTAGTGGGTAGGAAGCGGGTAGGTGGGGAGTGTGTGTGTGTGTATACATATATATACACACACACACATACATATCTAGCATGGCCTGTGGATTCAGCCAGCCATGCTCAAGTGCAGTAATATAGCAGTAATTAAGTTATTGTCTGCTTTTATTATTGACATGACAATGACAGTGTCTGCTTTTCATTTATACCTGTAGAGTATAGACTTATTCAGACTCTTATTGGTGAATACCTTTATCTCCGTTTCTGTTTTGTCTTGGCCGTTCTGTTGAACATCAGTTGCCTTCTAAGTTGTTTCATTCTCAGTCTGGACTTCCTGTCATTGTACCATGCTTGGCGTGACATGAAGTTGATTACATAGTACTTATGGTGCAGCTTTAACTCTCAGGTAAGTATAATAAAATATCTTAAAAACGGAGCTTCCCTTTGAAACTTGGGGTAGTGAAAGTATAGGCATAAATGTAAAATTTAAAGAACAAAATCATTGCCTTCTAATTATGAGAATTGCTCCATATCTTTCTTCTAGGCATTGGAAAGCATTTTGGCAAGCACACGTTTACCATTTTCCTGCCTTAGAAACATCACTCAGACGTTAATGGACACTTTACAAAATCAAGGTAATAGGATTTGTACTGACTGGAGGTTATGGTCTCATCTCAAATTTTATAACTCTGACGATAGAAAGTATTAACTGCTTATGATGCCATCATGTTACTGTATTTTTTAATTAATTAATTTTTAAATTTCCGGCCAGGCCGAACGGCTTGTGGGATCTTAGTTCCCTGACCAGGGATCGAACCTGAGCCCTCAGCAGTGAAAACACAGAGTCCTAACCCCTGGACTGCCAGGGAATTCCCCATCATGTTACTTTTTAATGTGGAAATAATATATAAGAAAGAAGGAAACTTATTTCATACCTTTAGTATTGGGGACTTTTTAATTCCCTGTTGCTGTTTTAATTCCCTGTATGCTGTTGATCTTCCTCTGAGCTTTCTCTGAATATATTGCCTCTGTTTCTTACTGTAAATAGTTTTCGTTTGACTCCATCTACTGGGAGGAAAGATATCAGTATAGAATGATGGGAAGTGATTATTGTGGTAATAGCTGTAGAGCGTTGTGAAAGCCATTGGCAGGAGGGGACGAGATGACTGGTGGTAAGCAAAAAACAGCCAGGTTCTCTTGCTGCCATTATGTCTTATTTAACTTTAAGTAATGTTGTTTTGACTATGATAATGATTAAAAAAAAATTCTAGGCTTTGATTTATGTTTTGTTAGTGTATGGAATCCACAGTCCTTCATCCATGTCCCTCATGAACTGTGCTAGGGCTTCCAAAATCACAGACTATGATTACATGACCGGTTCTGAGTTTTCTGGTTGTTTTTTTACTGTTCAGAATGTATTTGTCTGGAAAAGAATTACATCTGTAACTGTGGGTTTGTAACTCCACGTTCTGTCCAGCCGAGCTAGAAAAATTTAATTTATTCTGAATTCCTAACATCATTTAAAAATGTAGTGTGTGATGCAGTGACTTCATCTAGTCATGACTTTTTGCTTGTTGTGTAAATATGAAACCAGCTGTGTATTTAATTACATTTAAGCCAACTTAGAGTCGCTTAATAGATAAGTCGTAATATGCTGTTTCAGGACTTTAAGCATCCTAATTTTGAGAATTTCTTTTTCCAACACATATGTAAAGCTGACTCTTGGTAAATAGTAAACTTCTGTAATGCATACAGCTTGTTAGAAATACCTCTTTCAAAAAGTATAGTGCACTGATAAAGTCCCCCTATCCCATCCTAAGGCCTTAAAAAATATCAAAATTTATTAAGTTAAAAATTACCTTGCACTAGGCTGGGAGTAAACCAGACACCATTGTCAGAGTTCTGTAACATCACTAGTTCCAAGTTCTACCCATAAATGAGACTCCTAAAAATGTCAAGTATTTAGTATGCTAAGTTTTATTATGGCTGTAAGAACTTGGACAGTCTTCCATGTTACTATATCCCATATCAGAGTTCTTGGGAGTTTTCAGTGTCTGCCTTTTTAGAGAATAAGTATTCATTTGTATTAGAAATAAATATTTAAATTATCATGTGTATTATACAGAGAGTATTTTTCCAGCACTAACCTTGAAAAAAAACCTGATTGATGGAGGATATTAAGTGGAATTCTACTTTTTGCCAGCCTTTCTTGAGGATACCTCTGTCACAATCCACATTTTCTGGTCGAATTATAATATCTTTGACCATGATAAGAAGAAGAGGCAGGCAACTTTCTATTTGTCCTTCCTCAGGGTGTGAGCATAATAGACAACATATGATTGACGGGGTGAGGGAGAACATTTTCAAACCTGTTTCCAAATCATTTATTTAAATTTGAGTACTAGACTAAAATATTTCTTCTGTCTTTCTTTTTTTTTTTTAACGTCCCCTTCTATTAGAGCACCTTATTTCATTAAAAAATTTAGACATTTTGCCATGACGGGAAAAATTATTTTTGCCTTCTTAGTCCATTATAGCTTAAGCATCCCAATATTTAATAAAACAGAACATCAAAGAATTATGTAATATTAAGAGATTTAATGAAAGAAAGGCCTTTTTTATCAGTCTGTTAAATATATCTCTTTATTTTTTCCTTCTACCTTATAGAGCTTGAGTGTGTTGATGAAGGATTGCTACAGTTTTGTGCCAATAAATTGAAATTACTCCATCTTTATGAGTCTGTCAGTCAATTAAATTCCATTGATTTTCATTCAGACACGCCATTCTCTGATAATGTGAGTAATCCCATTATTCATTATACAAAATAATCTCTTTGATTATTTTTTACTTTTTTAATTGGTAGTAAAGAAGTAGAATATTAAGGTTTTGGGTTTTTTTAGGTGTAAAAAAACAGTATTTTCTTTACAAGGCCTTCTGCTGGCTTTCCGTGCCTTGGTGCTAAATTTATATTATTTAGGCTAGAATATTGAACTTATTGTTAATCCATTTTTAATACCTAGAAGCATTTGGTTTTCCTTATTTTTTAAGGTTACTTCTTACAATACAACTTCTTCTGGACAGGGTTTGCCAATTGAAATATATGCAGTTTACTGAAGTAGCAAAATTTTAATTTCTTTTAAAGAAAAAAAAAGATTCTGCCAAACAGAAGAGACCAGCTTTTCCGTGTTGTTAGCAAGCTCATACTACTCTGTTGTTTCCTATGTAATGAAATACATTTAAAAAAATATTTTATCGTACATCAGAGTGTTTAAAGTAATCGTAGAAAATGTTCTGTGTTTTTATTCTATAAAACATAAAAAACTGATAGCACCTTGTAATCTATATTACAGTGCAGTGTTGCTCATTTCTGAGGAGAGTATACAAAATTCTTACTTTCCATCTAGAGAAATCGCATTTCTCCTGATAGAGAATAGAGAGAAATATTGTCCTCTCTTCCCTCGACTACTATGTGACCTTGGGCAGGTTGCCTGGCATCAGGGCCTCATGTCTTTTATTTGTCTAAAGGAAAATTATTAAGGTGATTTTAGTGATTTTTCAAGTCACTGGTAATGCTTTTATAAAACTCATCTGGTGTATCTGAAAGTTAATTGAGTTTTAAAGTGGATGCCTTTTATTGTAAATACACGTACACGAATAAAAATTTTTAGACAGAAAAATGAGAGAAGGTTTTCCCTTTGTATTGGAAATAACCTACAAGTCCTAACATCTGTTTTTATCTTTGGGGTTCTAGATGGATTTTATAAAGCATTTTAACAATCCTCACAGTAATATTCTGTGAGCGCCATTATAAATGACAAAGCCATTTTTCAGGAGCTTTTGTTTTGCTATCTATTTCACCAATAGAGAAAAATCATTTCAAGCAACAGAAAAGTTCAAGTTGATTAAGTTATGTCTATAGGATTGCCTGGACATTTCATAGATTCTTCAATGCCTAAATTTTTTTTAATCAAATCAAAACTATCTCTCTTGAACCCTGCAAAAGAAACTTAAATATATGGCATTAATAATCCCTTGTAGAATTCATTTCCACTTGATAGCCCCAATATAGTGTGCAAAAGAATTATAAACGTTTAAAAATCAGTTGACAGATTGTTCTTTTTTATTATTTTTTTATCTTTAAAATGCTTTTAAAGAATTAAAACCGTATTTTGCTGTAGACTTATTTGGATCCTTAAAAAAGCATGCAGTCAACTTCTAGGCTGAATGGCTAATTTTGTACATACAAAACTAAAATTCAAATCTAAACTAATTCATTTTTGCTGTCTGTAGGACATAGTTCATATAAGTTTGGTATAGCATTGAACCACCTGTGTGTATTCCGTAGCATTTTGCAGTTTACTACTTGTTCTTAAAACAACATCCATAAGTAAATAAATAACAAAACTGCTCTTGTTTAAAAATGCAGCTTTAATCATGTAGCATGAGGGGAAGAAAGTTTTGCTTGCTATGGCGAATGTGTGTGTGTGTGTGTCTGTGTGTGTATGTGTACACTTGTCCCTAGTTTAGAAGAATAATAGTAGATCAAGAGATGTTTCTGCACATAAGGTATGTAAAAACAGTTTGAAAGGCTGGCAGGTTGTATCTCTGCAGCCCCAAGAGCCACATAGAGGATTTATATGTAAATACAGTGAAGACTGTTTTCCACTGCTTTTATTTTATAATGTTTATGCTGCTTAATAAACAAGCATTAAATTTCAAATAGTTCTTTAGTTTCCTCGGAATCACAAGAGTTGGCAGTTGACACCCTTTTAATATTTTTTTTTTCAGCAGAGAAAGGTTCATTGCAGGGCCGAGCCAGGAGAACAGGTGGCTCATGCTGAAAAACCCCGAACTCCCCAATGGTTTGGGGGGAAAAACTTAAATTTCTTTTCTGATTAAGCAATAATACATGTTTATTAAAATTTAGACATTTTAGAAGAGTATAATCTCAAGAAACTTTCTAAAAGTGGTACTTTCAGTAATATGTAGTATTTCAAGATTAGTTTATTTAAAAAACCTCCTACTCATGAATTGAGAGTAAAGTTTTAAGCAGAGCACATCATAGCTATGACATTAATTCAGAAGTCATCATCTTTTGCTTAGTCTTGCATTTCATTTCAGATGGTAGTGTTGACACTTACGGAAGAGTCATAGAAAGAGACATGGTCTATTCAGAACTTTTTTTCCCCCCCCCTATATTTAAGGACTTGGCTGTGTTACTAAGACTTGATGAAAAAGAACTTCTTAAGCTCCAGGCGTTGTTAGAGAAGTATAAACAAGAGAACAGCAGGACTGCTGTCCGATTTTCTGATGATAAGGATGGTGTGTTGCCTGTGAAAACATTTCTGGAATATTTAGACTATGAGAAAGATGTGATCAACATAAAGAAGATAAGTGAAGAGGACCGTGTGGCTTTAGGTAGGTAGAATGAGAAATTGCTCTTTGAATCCTCCCTATTCTAGATGAAAGCCTGGGAGGAGCTTATAGCATCTCAGAGATTGAGTTTGTTTTGAAATTAATTAACCGGAGAATTTAATGTGTGTTTTACAGTCAACAGAAGATCCTCTGGACAGGTAGGCACTATGTCATAAAAGTTGTTCTGAATTAGTAAGTACGCTCAGGAGACAGTGTCAGACGTGTAATGATTTGCCTTCTGCTTTGATCACTTAAGCCAGTTAAACCACTGATTTCTCTTCTTTCCTGTTGTTTTGCTCCTCTGGGGATCTAGGTTGCAATTCAGGAAGACTGTGAGTCCAGATGGTAAGTGGTCATTGATTGACGTGTCTTGATTTTGTTTTACCAGGCAGTTTCTTTTTTTGGAAGTGCTTATGTGGAGAAAGCTCCACTGAGGATATGTGTCACGCTCTGGAGTCAGCTGGACTTAGCCCCCAGCTGTTGTTGGTAAGGTTTCTTCTTTCTGGATGCTCTTCCTTGCTACTGTCACCCAGACGTGTCAGTCTCTCTCTTTTTTTTTTTTTTTTTTACCATTGTCTCAAGCATATCATAGAACATACATGAAAACCTTCTAAGAATGATCAAGGATATTTATAATCACCGTATTTAATTGAATAATATTACCTTACTTTTCTCATTCTCTGTAAGTTATAACCAGCATATTCCGGGGGTGGGCCTAGAATAAATGTAGAATCTGTCACGTATGCACGCATTTACAATGGACTGTGATCTTCAGTAAAAACGTTCATATTAGAACTAAAAAGATCTTTTCTGGAGAACAAAATGAAGTTCCCTTAAAGCATTATAGAATTATCAAACACTCCCAGACTCTGAATATATATTAGGAATTAATGTCTGTGCTATATAACAAATGCAAATAAAAGAATCGTCCAATGGAAAAACTACAACACTAAATTTTCACCCTTTCTGAAAAGGGCAGGGGAGTTAGCCCACCATCACCGTCCTGCCCTCTACCACCTCTCACATGTACACATACACATACTCTGTCACAGCCCCACACACACATCTTAAATTTTGGCCAGGATTTGGGCATTCCACCTCTATGAACGTGTTGACTGTGTTAACGTATTGTTTTAATTGAACATGCAAGCCCTTTAAAAAGGGATTCTGTTCTACCTCACTCCGCAGTGCATATGTCAGGAAGGAAAGCAGTTAAAGATACACATGGTTGCGCGTGGAGGTCCATAAGCTGCTTTATTCATACTAGCCAAACACTGAAAACTACTCAGTGCCCTTCAGTGGGTGAATGGATAGACAAACGGTGACACATCCTTACCGTGGAACACTCCTCAGCAACAAGAAGGAATAAACTCTTGCTACAAGCAATAGCTTGAATAAACAAGGAAAATATGCAGATAGAAAAAAGCCAATCTTAAAAAGATACATACTGCGTGATTTTATTTTCTTTATAAAATAACACAGTTGTAGAGAGAGAGGACAGATTAGTGGTTGCCAAGGGTTAGGGATGAGTGTAGGGGAGGAGACGGGTGTGGCTATAAAGAGTTAATAGGAGGGAGTCTTGTGCCGATGGTAGAGTCGAGTGTCTTGATCGTGGTGATGGTCATGTATGCGGTGCTACACGTGATAAAATTGCATGATGCAAAACGAGTGCCTGTATTACCGGTGAAACGTGTGTCAGGTTTATGGATTTTACAAATGGCAGTTTCTTGGCTTTGTGTAGGATGTGAACATTAGGGGAGACTGTGGGAAGGGCGCACGGGACCTCCGTGTGCATTCCTTTGTGCCACCAGTGAATCTATAATTACTTCAAAATAAAAAGTTAAAAAGAAAGGAGACAAGTATTACCTATCACTCAAAATTGTGATGCTTAAATAGATGAACACAGAATACTACTTATTTTCCATTGTGTTTAATCAATTTCATTTAAATTTGTTGTCTACATTAAATCGGGATTAGAGAAACACCTGGAAAAAACAAACCTCACACCTTTACCTCGAGCCATATATAAAATTTAAGTCAAAATGGAACATAAATATGAGGTAACACTAACAAAACTTATAGAAGAAAACACCAGAGAGAGCTTGGTTTAGGCAAAGGTTTCTTAGGGTACAAAAAGCATGAACTGTAAAAGAAAAATATTGATAAACTGCTTCATGAAAATTCAGAACTTCTGATTTTTAAAAGACTGTTAAGAAACTGAAATGGCAAGACTCTTTTTCAAAACAGATCTGATAAATGAATTGTGTCCACATTGTACAAAGAATTTGTACAACTCAGTAATAAGACAACAGTACCGTTTAAAACTGAGCAAAGGATTTGAACAGACACATGACCAAAACATATACATACAAATGGCAAATAATCAATCACCTGAAAGATGTTGAACACCATTAGCCATTAGGGAAATGCAAAAATAAAACCAGTATGGCCTCTGTCCCAGGAGGCCTAAAGAAGTGGTGGAAATGGGATGTAGATCCCCAACAAATGATAATCTCTTAAGTTAGACAAGCTGCCTGTTCCACCCCTCACGCTACATCATGTAACAAGCAAGCACTTCCCTCTCAACCAGAGAGACTGGATCGCTCACGTGTACATGTGTGCTCTCTAGAAAAGTAGAGAGACCGGATCGCTCACGTGTACATGTGTGCTCTCTAGAAAAGTACAAGATTTTGTTTATGGTAAATATTTTTTTAGACTGAAAAAGATTTAAAATCTGATTTCAGTCTCTGCTCCTGAGTGTTTGGCTTTCTAAGGAAAAAGATATTTTGGACAAACCGCAGTCTGTCTGCTGTCTCCATACGATGCTGTGCCTCCTGAGCAAGATGAAAGGTGAGCGTTGTGGGCGCCGAGGTTCAGCTCTTCGGGAGCGTGGGCCCCACTCCCGGAAACCGCGTGCAGTGTTGAAATTCTGCGGAAACGGGAGGGAGGATACTTTTCTCTTAACAGAAGGAGGCCAGAGGGTACCAAACATTTCACTAGAGAGACTTCTGTGTAGTCATAGAAAGCTCTTAGTGCGTTCAAAGTGTGCTTTATGAAAATTATATTTTGCATCATCATCAAACATGATGTGAACGGCGTGTTTTCTCAGCTCAGTGAGGTGAGTCGAATGGTCTTCTGTGGAGGTAATATTTCCCTTATTGTTTTGGCATGATGAGAACATAGTCTGTTCTATTAAACATTCAAGAGTAGTTTTCAGCAATGATGAAAATATTCCAAACGGAGCTTTACAGTTGATTCAGAAGCAAGATGCCTAACAGCATAAATAGACTGTAAGTGTTCTGAATACAATAAATTGTAGATTTATTTTCCAGTTCATTGAGAAATATATAGATGCATCAGTGGGGAATTCAGTTTTAACATTATGCTTAATGTCAAAGTTTGGACCAATAAAAAAAAAAAAAATCTCCCAGCTAAGAGTTTCTTTTTTTTAACTTTCCCCTTTTGCCTGTAGTGGCCATCGAAGAGACCTGGGATTCTCAGTCAGTGTCCCCTTGGTGGCAGCAGATGCGCACGGCCTGTATTCAGTCTGAGCACAACGGGGCTGCTCTGCTTTCCGCGCACGTCGGGCACGCTGTCGCCGCCCAGATATCCAACAGCTTGACCGAGAAGAAAGTGAGTGGGCAGAGGGCTGCTCTGTAGGTGGGGGGCACCTCTCCAGCTGGCTCCCGGGCCGCCTTCCCCTTCTGGGCTGCATCGTCTTCAGTGTTGTGCGACATCTAGGATTTGACACGTGTGTCCAGCAGGACCTTTTCTGTCTCTCTGGGGGGTGAAGGGTGCTGTCCTTAATTTGTTTATTCCGATGACGTGCATACTTGAACTTAGTCTCCACGTGGCGTAAGGGGAAAAGCACTGGATTCGGAGGGCAGAGATCTGGTCTCCGCCGTCAGCTGGTGATCTGTGGTGAGTGCCTTTAGAAGGCGGGTCCTGGCTCAGTTTCCTCGTCCAAGAGGATCAGGGTTAGACGGCATCATTTCTCAGATTTCTTGCGGCTCTGAAGCCCTACAATTGTATTTACGCCCCCCTTTTATAAACAAAGGTGGTTTTGGCATAGAGCGTTGAGTGACTCAAATGGAAGTTTCCTGTTGACCTTCTGCTCTGTGGCTTTTCCCCATCTCTTGAAAACTGAAATTTATTTAAGAAAAGAAAAAGACTTAATTAACATCCCTTATATCTCATGGTACATCAAATAATTTTTTCTAGGGGGATGTTGCATTAAATTAGATGAGATACTTAAATAGGTCCGTAGAGGTTCACTCAACATTGTCCGTCTCAGTAGTTTATGGGCGAACTTTAATATGACTGGCTTAAGATGTTTATACTAATGGGGAGAGAGAGAAATTTGAGACACAGTTTTTATGTTGGCGAGTACATCCTGAGGAACTGTCAGTATCCTGGTGCTGACAGAAAAAGCTGTGGCTCTCGTAGGGATGGCCCTGAAACCTTTGCAGTGCATGCTAGCTGTTCTCTTCGTAAGTGCCCCGACTCTATCATCGTTGCCCCTAAATCTCCAGGCTACTCCTGACCCTCATGCTCCGTCCAGCCAAGGAGTAATATTTGTGAAACAGCATCTGTGCGTTGCTTTGTGATGTATCCTGACTACGCACCAGCTTTCAAGTTAAAAGCTCATTCAAGTTACTGTAGATCCAGAATCTTGGCCAGGGTATCACCTGTGCATTTTCTGTTAGTTTTCCCAAACAGTTTCGGGTACTGATTCGGAGGCCCTCACTGATTCCTGGGAGGCCCTTTCCCTTGACACCGAGTACTGGAAACTTCTGCTGAAACAGCTGGAGGACTGTCTCCTTCTTCAGACTCTGCTTCATAGCAAAGTGAATGCCTCAACCTCCAAAGCATCATCGCTGCAGGCTGAGCCGCTCCCGAAGCTTTCTGTTAAAAAGCTGTTAGAAGGAGGAAAAGGTAACCTGAAGCTTATTTGAGCATCTGTATCCATATACGTTTTTTTTTTTTTATGGTTATGGGCTATTTTGGGGTTTGCTTTTTATAGAAATGACTGAAAGAATAAGGAAAGAGAAATACACTCAGATTTCAAAAATAAATAACCCACCACATACTTCTTCTCGGTTAATCTCCTCCAAGTCTGATCCTGTCAGTTCCTTGCTCAGGAACCACCAGCTACTTCCCCTCGCCTTAGAAAATAAGCCGTGGTTCTCAAAGAGTGGTCGCAGTCCTCTTTTTTTCCAACTTCATATCTATGTGAGGCCAGATGTTCCTCATACACCTCAACCAAAACATCAGATCACAGTGGATAGCATGTCGAAGCTGATTTGGGCAGTCCAGATCCAAGCTAGACATCAAAGAGATTTGCAAAAGTGTAGTGCCACTCTTCTCACTAAATATCTTGTTTTGCTTTGGTAAATACAATTATTTTCATAAAATACTAGCATGTAATGGGTTTATTATTTTTATTTTAAAATGAATTAATAAAAATTTTTAAACATTTTCTCAGTTTTAATTTCTGATACCGTAATTATCAATAAATATAACCCATAAGCTAAAGTCCTTTGGGCTTGTCAAAAATTTTTACTGGTGGGCTTCCCTGGTGGCGCAGTGGTTCAGAGTCCGCCTGCCGATGCAGGGGATGCGGGTTCGTGCCCCGGTCCGGGAAGATCCCACATGCCGCAGAGCGGCTGGGCCCGTAGGCCGTGGCCGCTGAGCCTGCGCGTCCAGAGCCTGCGCGTGCTCCGCAACGGGAGAGGCCACAACAGTGAGAGGCCCGCGTACCGCAAAAAAAAAAAAAAATTTTACTGGTTTAAGGGACTAAGATCGGGACTAGGAAGTTCAGAAATTGCTGTGGGACAAAGTGTAAACTCTTAGGCCTGCTCCCCACGGACCTTCACCTTGGAATGCAGCTCATTTCCACCTCCTGCTTGCTTGTTGCTAGATTCTAATTCACACGGAACATCTGTGATTCCCCATCTCTGGGTCTGAGAGGCCGAGCTGCTCCCGCTCGTGGGCCCTAAATCTTACTCACCTGCCAAGGCCCTCCTCAAATGCTGCCTCCCTCCACGAAACCTCTCATGATCCACTGACTGCAGGTTCTCTCTTCTTGCTCCTAACTTCCCCAGAACTTCATACCGCTTTTCCGATGCACCACTCTCTACTGTCCCAGAGTCGCTGGCTTCCTTGGCTTCTATCTTGCAGGATCACGGGCATCTTAAATTTTGAGTTTCTTGTGGCGTGTACCCTCTCCTTACCAGCCGCTCTGTCAGGCTTTTGATACCGGAGTGACTACATGTCTGGGTTTAGAAATACTGGTATTTACAGTTTTTATTTAGGTAACTCGTTTTTTCATTCATTAGAAGGCTTGTGAACATTTTTAATTGTAAACTCACTGCACTCCGTGCTACCACCTGGTGAAAATGTAGGAACGCCATTTTAATGTTAACCCGAGCAACAGGATCAGGGCCTTGATCCTGGAACGGGAATTATCAGATGATTTAGAAGCTCTCATTTATTGATATTTCCACTGATAATTATGATCTCACGTTCTTTTTGTCAAAAGGTTTATATTTGAATCAAAATAGAAAGAAAGACTGAGAGGAAAAGTTTTGGTTTATGACAGAAGATTCTATTTCTTTTAGGTAATGGGACTCTTCATCTTGACTGTTTTTTATAATTTATAACTTCCTAAACTATATTGATGACGGAAATATGGTATCGCATCATGTTGTTAATTAACTATGGCTAAATTTTGCCCCCAAATATTCCATATAGGCAAGTCAGTTGACTATTAACAGTAGTGTTTTGCCCTAAGAAACCTAGACACAAGTATCATGCTGATCAGTCTGTTTTCACTTGCATTTAAATGGAAGCATTTGAAACATGTATTCATGTCTCCATCTATGTCCAATAAAGTGCATTTTGAACTTGTGGACTTTGAAGGTATGTGGTATACAGACTTATATATGCATCTGCATTAATATTTAGCTAACCTTTTACAGGAGTATAAAGATGCCCTTAGAGATCCAATATCCCACTTGCCCTCATACAGTGAGTGGTAGGCGGCGCCACCTATAAATCTCATAGCTTTGGGGTCACTTTCAGGCTTAAAACAACGTGGCACTTAGATCTTCATGGAGACATTCAGATCCTGTGCTGTACGGGCTCCTTTTGGCAAATGCTGCCAATTTTCATTTCCTTTCATGTCTCCAAACTATAGGTGGCATTGCAGACAGTGTAGCCAAGTGGATATTTAAACAGGATGTCAGCCCTGAAGTATTAAAACTGGCTAATAAAGAAAGAGATGCAGAAAACTCAGATGAACCCAAAGAAGGTATTAACAGAGGTTTATCTGAGGTGTCAGAGGTGGAGATGGACTTGGGAGCCATCCCAGGTAAGACGTAAACACGGGGAAACATGAAATCTGGCATAGAGAAGGCGGGCAGAGCTTTCCTTCAGGCAGGAGCAATACATCGCTCTCCTCTGACTTTCAGACCTGCTGTACTTGGCCTACAAGCAGTTTCCGTGTAGCCTCGAGCTGGACGTGCTGCACGCACATTGCTGCTGGGAGTACGTTGTTCAGTGGAATAAAGATCCGGAGGTACGACTCTCGTCACCACTTTAGTGTTGGTTCTGTTTTGTGCTCATGCTGTACGTACATGGGACTGTTTCCATCAGTCCCTTACAAACACTAGCTTCTTCCCCTTTGGAATATCTCCATACCAGGAGCTGTGCCAGGCCCTTTTCATACACCCTCTCTCAAAATCCTCACCATAAACCTGTGAAGTGTGGGTGTCATCATTATCCCCACTCTAGAGAAGAGAAAACTGGCTCGGAGGAGTCAGGTTCCTTGCCTGAGTCGGGCCAGGATTCAAGCCTAAGCTTCTCTAACGCCAGCGTGTTTTGCCCTACTCCTGGTTAAACTGCGATGAGTGTATTTTTTATTTCCTTTGGACTGTCTGTGTGAGATAGCATCTACCTATAGACAGTTCTTCGTATTGTACTGTAGTCATCATGATAAAAACCAGAGTGAAGACTCTGATGCCACCCTGACTCTCCGCTTGGGCATCGCTCTCTGCCCCTTCCAGCAGCCGCCCTCGCTCGCAGGCATTCTCAGTCTGGAAGCGGTGCAGGGAGAGGCCCGAGGCCTGGAGGCTGGAGGCCTGGACTTGATGACTCCAGACAGGTGTCTGGGTTTGGCCCAGTCACTGAACCTGGTTTTTTGCTCACACCCTTTTTTAATGATGGTGCCAGTCCTTCAGGGTTGACACCAGGATAAGATAAGATGTAAAAACACATGACATGTATTTCTCTTTGCTGCACAGTCGTTCACATAGGCTTCCTTAGTCAGTACTCTGGTAAATTAACCTTCTCAAATCAAAATTCTTTCCTTTATTGTCCTTATATCAGGTTGTACTTTTGAAGAAGAATCTCATTGATGAACTAATTCACACTAATATATTAATGATAACAATAGTTTTCCTTCCTCTGAGAAAAATGTTGTCTTGAACATGTAATCACTTTCATATTAAAGGAAGACGTTTTAAAAGTAAGTGCTTGAAACAAAGTAATCGTCTTTGATCAGTTAAACTTTGACCAAAAGATGATTTTAGGGTAGGGGGTCTCTTGATACGCCTCCCGTCGCCGTCTCCGGTTGACTGCCCTGCCGCCTGAATGGTGGACGTATTCAGGCTCCTCCTATACAGGATACTTTTCCCACATGAGAAAAGAACGTTAGGACCAGAACAGAGACACAGTAGTTTCTAAAATCTGAATGAATTAATTCCAGATTCAGGTCTAACATTTAAAATAATGGTCAGTGTAAAATGTTTGTTTAGTGGTCATTTTTCTTGTTTGTTCTTTTCCTTTTAAATATTTATCTCCTTGTCCCATTCAACAGCCCCTATCCCAATTCCACCATTTTACACACACAGCTTTATTAGGCTCAAAACAGTCGAAATTACTTGTGGGGAACTTCTGACACATATTAGCAAAGGTGATGTGTTTAATATTGTACAGGCCACACATTTTTTTAAAATTAATTTATTTATGGCTGTGTCAGGTCTTCGTTGCTGTGCACAGGCTTCTCATTGTCGTGGCTTCTCTTGTTGCAGAGCACGAGCTCCAGGTGCACGGGCTTCAGTAGTTGTGGCACGAGGGCTCAGCAGTTGTGGCTTGCGGGCTCTAGAGCGCAGGCTCAGTAGTTGTGGCACACGGGCCTAGTTGCTCCGCGGCATGTGGGATCTTCCCGGACCAGGGCCCGAACCCGTGTCCCCTGCTGCATTGGCAGGCAGACTCCCAACCACTGCGCCACCAGGGAAGTCCCCCAGGCCACAAGTTTATTTAGCAAACATTCAGATAATTTCATCAGTTTTACATACCATATTTGCGTTTTCATACGTAAACTACCTTGATTAAAAATAGTTGAATTTCCAACATCCCCTCTGCTATTTCCTATTTCCCTTCACTGCTTAATGTTTTCTCTTTGGCACTTATTACTAACAACCTATGTAATTTACTTATCATATTTATTATCTAGCGCCCTCACTAGAGCATAACCTCAGGGAGGGCAAGGATTTGGTTCTGTTCTGTTCATGACAGTACCTCTGGTGCCTCCAGCAGACGGGTGCATAGTAGTTGCTCAATAAACATTTGTTGAAGAATGAATGATATTTGCAAAGAAAGTAAACCTATTGCTTTCATATCTGTGTGAAATTCAAGTATTTATTGGAGAGAATACTGCTATGATGTACAAACCACAGTAAATTTTGAATCAGATGTCCTAGGAATCAATCATTATATAGATGATGTAAATTTAAGAGCGACCATTAACATTATCTTATGCAAAATTACTTCTTCCCTAATAATTCTGTGTTCTTAGTATAACATTCTTGGGTAACTTTATGTGGAAATTTATGTAAGAAGTCTCCGTTTGTATTTGAAACACCTATTAAATAATATCTTTTTTCTCTCTTTTTGCTCCCTCTATGTAAGGAAGCACTTTTTTTTGTTAGGTCAATAGAACACTTGGAGCACATTCTTAATGCACATGTTCAGAATGGTAAGTAAACAGGTGTTAAAAACGTAACTGTTTCATTCCAAAGAGCCAAGTCTCTTAAATTCACATCCTGTTAAAATTTTCCTTGACAGTCCTGCCACCTAACACATTACTGTGTATTGCTATGTGCAAAGTACTGGCTGTTTTAACTGCTTGAAAAAAGGCTGTCCCCAAAGGGGGAGGGGGCTGGCACTAATTATCACCTTCTCTCCCCACCAATCAGTTTCCCACACTGATGACTATCCCTAGGTGTAAGTAAGGAGAATATTATGCATGAATTATTGATTCCCTCTGTAGTTCACAGGTAGATAAGAAGAATGGTCTGCTCAGGACTGTAATTCCTGATGAAAAAGTTAGATAGCCAAAGCCTAATAATACTGTACCCTACAAACTACTTTGTGCTTCTTCTTCTTCTCCATTTTTTTTTGTATTTATCAATAACCTAAGTTTATTTCATTTGTTTACAAAATGAATTATCTGTGTCAGTATCTGCATCAATTAAAAAAATGTTTTTATTGAAATATAGTTTATTTACAATGTTGTATTAGTTTCTGGTATACAGCAAAGCGATTCAGTTATACATATATACGTTCTTTTTCATATTCTTTTCCATCATGGTTTATTATAGGATATTATAGGATATTGAATATAGTACCCTGTGCTATACAGTAGGACCATGTTGTTTATCTATTTTATATATAGTATAGTTTGTATCTGCTAATCCCAAATGCCTAATTTATCCCTTCCCCCTTGTGCTTCTTTTGATAAACATGAGTATTCTCCATTGGCTGCTGTACCACGGGGAGTGCTGATGTCTCCTTGAAAAAAATGTTACAAATTATTGTAGAAAAATTGTCACCAGATTGCTGGTTCCATTTAATAGGTAGGTGAGATTCCCTATGAATTAATCAAGAAGCTCAGTAGTAGACTAGTCAGATACTAAGATAGGAAGTTAATAAAATACTAAGTGGTGAGACTAGGTTTGGGTCCGGGTAAGGGGAGGTATCACCTTTATGTCTCTGTGATACATTCTAGAGAAGCTACTTATTACCTCTCCTGTAACACCTTGTTGCAGGTGGTATGAGGTCAAATTGCAGAAATTCTAAAATGTCTCATTTTACATGATAAGAACTTAAAATTTATTTTATATATTCATATCTTAGCTCTTACGTTCTTCCAAAGGTGAAAAAAAACGATTTAAAGTGGCTCATTTGGAAAATATTGTCTCTAGAATACTCTATCCTTACTGAAAAAAATTGTGTTTCTTCAAGTTAGAACTTTACCCAATTTGTCAGCAGAGGGATACATTAGGAGTTCAGGATTAACATATACACACTACCACATATAAAATAGATAACCAACAAGGACCTACTATATAGCACAGGGAACTATACTCAATATTTTGTAATAACCTATAAGGAAAAAGAATCTGAAAAGGAATATATACATCTGAATCACTTTGCTGTACACCTGAAACTAACACAATATTGTAAATCAACTATACTTCAATTAAAAAAAAAAACTTTACCCAATTTGTGCATTGAGTAAGCTTCCTGGCTTCCTCTGCAGGACCTCACTCCTAGATACAGAACCAGCTGTGTGGGTAATAATACAGCATGTGAAATGTCATGTTTACACTGCCTGTCAGCTGTTACAGAAACTTAATATCAGTGCCACAGTTTATTGTATATGGACATGTAAGGCCCAGAGTTTTTGTTTGGTTGGGTTTTTTAAAAATAGTTTTTTTGTATTTTGTTTTGCTTTTTAATACTTTTTTTGTATTTCACGTTATTTAGTGGTCACATATTAGAAAACTCCATTGGGGTTGTTTCTAGTGTTTGGCTGTTATGCATAAAGCTCTCCTTGCCTCTCTTCTACACATTTTTGTGACTGTTTCTGCAGTGGAATTGCTGGGTCACACGGTAGACATACTTAGCTTAGGTAGATATTGCCAAGTAGTTTTCCAAGTGGTTTTACCAATTTATTATCCCCCCAGCAGTGTATGAGCATTCTCATTGTTTCCACATCCTCATCAACACTTGGTGTTGTCATATAAAAAAATTTTAGCCTTTCTGTTGGTTGTGTAAAGCTATCTCTGTGTAGTTTTAATCTGTTTCTCTCATGACTAATGACATAGTCTTTTCTTATGCTTATTGGCCATTTGTATATCCTCTCACGCAGCCCAGTTCTGATTTTTATTAAAGGTAAAGGTTTTTATTAATTTTATTACATAAGATATAAGAAATAATATCTAAATAAATAGCCCAGATAGTTTTATAAGCTTAAGGAAGAGAGCAATTTGTTATATATGATGAAAGAGAAAATATAGAAGCATTCTGGTCACTGCTTTATTTTACTTGTTGTCCAGGCATCGCACTGATGATGTGGAACACATTTTTAGTTAAAAGGTTTTCTGCTGCTACGTACTTGATGGATAAGGTAAGGTAATTGTAAATTTCCTGTACCGACTTGTTTATTTGGCTCCCTTAATAATTGACTGATATAAGAAAGATTACTTACATTAAGCCTTGTTAGACTGTTTTTTATTTGACATTACATTTTATTTGTGCTCAGCTGTGCTGGCCTTTTGATGATGATGACTTGAAGAGCCCAAATCCTTGAAAGAGAGTAATGCCCTGTAAAAGCCTCTTAACCCAAGTGATTAGGACCAGGGGTCGATTCAAGCAAGGATTTGCACTTTATTTTAAATTAAAACATACAAACGCACAATTCCTCGCCAATCTTTGGATGTAGGGCCAAGGTATTTTCTCTGAATAGGGTCGATTGCAATTTTCCGTAGGTTTTCCTACATTAACCTCACCCATAAAGCATTGCCTGTGATTTCTAGATCCTGTTTCTTTAAAGCTATGATGCAATCTGAGTGCAAAATCTTTAGATTTTTATAATTTATCCCCTAGTCGTGTAGTTGTTTCCTCTGTATCTAATCCAGTAGACCTAGGAGTTAGCTACTCTCCTCCATAAATCTTTTTAAAGGGGTCAACACAGTATTCACATAAAGAACTCCCTTTTTTCCTCGTTCATATTTCATCAGTTACTTAATTACAGTATGTACAACCAGCATAAGTAGATTTGGGAACAGACCTAACAGGTAAGCCTATAACTCAACTGGTGGGAGAAGCTGCTGGCGTACTGGAGGGGAGCCTTTGGGCCTCAAGCAGTGTGGCCAGGGCCCTTGTCAGTGTGCTTTACAGGCCAGTTGAGAATGTCGGTTACAATGGCAGCAGTTAAGTGGATGTCAGGAGAACTACCACTATAATGACAACATGGTCTTTGAAATGTACAATGACAGACATTCCTAAACGGAAAACAGCACTCCAGCTCAGACCCCCTATAGGCCATGGCTCCTCTAGAAAGTGCTTTGAAATCATTGGTAACCTTTTTTTGTAAGTTGTTTCCTGTGCGCTCATCTTTCTTGCCCACTTACCTGCTTCTTTCTTGAAACGCACTCCTTTTGGCCTTTATGATATTGTTCTATTTCGCCTCTGACCACCGTCTTGAGAGACTAATAATACAAAGCCTTTTCTGTGTTTGTGTTACCGTGTACAGATGTTCAGCATTCTATACCCACTGTCCCATCTGACTCTCAAAACTCGGGGTTTAAGCAGTCCCGAACCAGGAAGCAGAGAGTTTAGGATCATTCATTCAACAAATATTTATTATAAGTGTCTCTTATGTGCCAAGAACTGTGCTAGGTTCTGTGGTTGCAGAGATAGAAGTCACAGCCCCTGCCCTCAAAGAACCCACAATCAGAAAGATGGTAAACAGACAACAGGGTGCTCTTGGAACTCGGAAGAGGAAGTAAATGACAAGGGAAGGCTTTTGGGCTGAATTTTGGAAGATGAGTATATATGAATCAGTAAAAAGTGGGTGAGGAGAAAATGTTTCCAGCAAAAAGTCCTGGAGATGGGAGACAGCATGTTGGATTCAGAGAGCTGCAAGTAGCTTTGATTGGTTGAAGTACAGGCTATATAGAAAGGAGCAGGAAGCCAACCGTGGAGAACTTCCTGTGTGGGCTCTGGATCTGGGGTTTTCTAACATGTGTAAACTACTTAGCATAGCGCCTGGCACAGCTGGCGAGGGCGCAGTAAATGGTAGCTGTCATTTTGTCTTGAAGACATTGGGGCAGTTTTAAGCAGAGGAATGATATGTTCAGATTTGCATCTTTAAAAAACGATTCTGGCAACAGAGTGAAGTATGTTGAAATTGGGGTTGAAGGCCATTGCAGTAATCGCAGTGAGAGGTAATGAGGCGAAGAGTCTGTTGTCCTTTTCATTTTCACTGTTTCCTGTGAATTGTCTTATCAAGTAATGTTCCTGAAGGGCAGAACCTTTATCTCCCACTTATTACCCTGTATAAAGTATACAGTTGAATCTCACTAATTGCTTACTGAATAAGGACACCGGCTGATTTTCTGAGCCAGGAATATAACTTCTGTCTGCTTTAGACGGTTCTTCCTTCTTTCTGACCATTTAAAGGTTCGTATTGTGTGTCTTCATCAACTAGCAGAATTCTTAGCTGCTGCTTATTCGTAGCCTTGAGTTTGGTTCTAGGTTTTAAGGTAGTGCAGTAATCTGATTATGCAAAGCGGGAACCAGATTTTTGGAGATTTTCTTATTTAATAGTTCAAAAATAAGTATTTTTGAATAGGATTATTTGTGAGCCCAGTATTTTTCATGATATATTTTTAAGTTCCACCACAAAATTAGTTGCGTTGTGTTATAAATGAGTAGAACCAATGTTTAATTGATGAAATTAGTACTGCCTTTATTCATAGCTGCATTTACATTTTTTAAATTTGGTTACTTTCTACTTCCTGTACCATGGTAATGCCTTTTGATTTAAATTATTAAATGCAGCATCTTATGTCCTCTTGTCTCAGGTTGGAAAAGCACCAAAGGATAGGTTATGCCGAAGGGTAAGTGAATCTCCCTTAACTAGATGTGTAGTTGTTAATTTTGCACTTTATGTAGTACCTTATTAACTGTGGGGATGAACTCTGCCTTTAACCATTTTGATGACTCATCAGGAGATAAGAAAAATGGAAAGAGAATAGTATATTAATAAGGAAACTGGTCATGAACTATGGCCAATTTTAATTTACCTTTCCAGATTATCAGATAGTATGTTGAAACTAAGTTTGCCAAGATGTCTTCAGCTTTGGACTGTGGACAGGAGGATAACATGCAGCCACTGCTGCATATTTTTGCTGTCCTTCAAATTAGAAATTTATAATGGAAGTGGATTCCATATGAGTAGTGAGTTTGATCTACCTTTATCTAATAGCTATTGTACAGATAGTCTTCAATAATGTTCCAGTCCATGGATACTGGGGCTTATATTTGAGGTCAGTGATTCACAGTGCTAGCGTTTGCTCAAAGCTTTGAAATATTCTTATTACAAATATCTTAATAAATACTTGGACACAGGAACCCAGCCATTATAGGCCCTTAGGTCCTGAAAAATCTCCATTGTTGAAGAAATCGTCTGTATGCTCTTGAGAGTGGCTGTATGACTGCCGTTCATATATGTGTGTACATACACACACACACACGTGCTGTATTCCTTGAGGACGAATTACTTAGGGATGTAAGGGATTTGTTGGCTCTTGGTTTAAAAAAAGACTGCATGTGAGCATAGTGGCCCCTTGGACAGGCCCCTTCAGGAAGGATTCGTTGCCCATAGCATCAGTCTGGTGTTTAGTTCACTGGCTTGGGGATCCTAGTTTTGTTCAGAGGGTTCAATTCAGTCCCTCAAAGATGCTCTGGAACCACACCAAGCTGTTTTCTTGGAACTTTTAAGATTCACACACGAGAGGAATCTTACCGCACACCGCAAATGCCTCAGCGAGCCAGATGTGAGCGGGATTGCCACCCCGCTATCTGTGGTTAACCGATGACACTGCGTCTTTCCAACACAGAGAGACATTTTTTTAAAGTTGAGGGTAAAACCATCTTTTTTAAAGCCTAATTTTAAAATTAGTTGAATCTAAAGAAAGGAATTAAAGTCAAGTGCCTTGACTTTCAATTCTTACCTGTCTATTCAGTGCAGAAAGTCAGTCGAATAGGTGCGTTTTTTTTGTGTGTTCTGTTTATTTTTCTGATTAAAAACTAGCAGTTTTGCTGCCGGAGCTAATTATGTCCCTTCTTAAAAACAGGATGTGGGGATGAGCGACACAGCAATGACATCTTTCCTTGGGTGTTGCTGGGATCTTCTTCAGACTTTAATGGAGGTAAAAGAGCTGTATTTTCATTCTGAACTGTCCCTAAAGTGTCAAATATTTTGAAAGTCATTGGACTTAAGAACTATTAAAAGAGATTATTTTTCATTGATTCACGTCTAAGGTTTGACTTAAGCCTAAAAAATAGTGATGTTCCTTATTAGAATTAGATTTTATGGTTTTGGTTTTTTTTTTTACTATTATAACTTGAGGGGTGGGGAGAAATACGGGTTTGTACTTTGCTGCTGGTTGTAAGCTCATTAAGATGTTTGCAAACTATTATTTCTCCAATTCTGAACACAGTTCTCCCTTCTCAAAACACCCAGGCAGACGTCAGCCGGGATGAAATGCAAGTGCCCGTCTTGGACACGGAGGATGCCTGGCTGGCCGTGGAAGGACCAGTCTCCATAGTGGAGCTGGCGCTGGAGCAGAGGCACATCCACTACCCGCTGGTGGAGCACCATTCCGTCCTGTGCTCCCTCCTGTACGCTGTCATGAGGTTCTCTCTGAAGGCCGTGAAGCCACTCTCCCTCTTTGATAGTAAGGTAATCCTCGGAGGACTTGAGAGCCTCTCGGAGCTGAGGGTCTAGCAGGACTGTCTTATCGAAGTCGTTCAGCCCTTTGTGTGTGTCTTGTATAGGATTATTCGTCACGGCGGTCTCTGTTCCCTATTCCTTGTCAGGCTTCCTTGTTCTGGTCTACCTTAAATATTGGTGTCCCAGGGTTCTGCCCTCTCAGCCATCTGCCCTTCTCAGTCTGCACATGCTTCTTGGATACACTCCTTTTCTCCCTCTTGTGTGTCTCCAGGCCTGACCTGTCCCCAGAGTTTGGGGCATGTACTTCTACTGAACGCCTCTCTTGGCATGTGCTGTGGACTGCAGATACCTCCTTCCTAAAATCTCTCTCTACCCTCACCCGCACCTACCCTTACCTACACTTGCTGTTCCCCCTGAGTTCGCTGGCTTGGTCAGTTGATGAGTGATGTCGCTGTCTGTGCCCTAGCATAAACTAGCAACCTTGGAGACAGCTAGCTCACTTCCCTTCTTCAAGTCCCACAGTCACTGTAAGTTCATTCTTATCAGTTCTTCCTTAAATCCTTTCTGTCCGTCCCTCTCCATCACTGTAGCCTGAGCTCAGGCCTCATTGTCTCCCCTAGGGTGGTACAGCAGCCCCCAGTTTCCCTCCACCCAGTCCCATGCTGCCAGAGCTTTCTTCCCAAAACACAGATTCAGTTGTATTAGTTTCATGCCAGTACGTAAAACACAGCCTCAACTGGCTTCTCCACCCCAGCTTGTGTCAGTAAACGATGATCCCGCTCTTGCGCAGCCACGGCACCCCCGGACACCTGCAGGCTTCCCGTCGGGCTCCTGGCGCCGGGAGCTCCCCCAGGAAGACTGCGTCCTGGAAGAAGGGGGAACAGGGCGCTGCTGAGAGCTCAGTTCCTTCTCCCAAAGGCACCGTCCACTTGGGCAGCAGCGAGTCAGAGCGGGAGACCTGGCATAGTATTAATATTTCCTGCCACGGGGAAACATGGAGCCCGAGGAAGGAGGCTCCCCCACCCCATAATTTACCTTTTCTGCCGTCCATTCCTCTCTTACCTTGTGCTCTAGCCACTGTTCACTACCCTCCACCCCTCAGAGAAGGCAGACATTCTTATCATCTCTTGTCGTGTTTGTATCGTTCCATTTTCACAGGCAACTATTCTGTATGGTCAGCTCCTATTCGTTATTCATTTATTACTTAAGTGTCACCTTCGCTTCAAAGTCTTTGTCTACATTTCCTGAACTGACCACCTCTTTGCCATATCCCCATGTCTATGTGCCATGCTGGCCACATAACAGGAGCCCAATAATGTTTAATGCATTCATAAGTAAGGAGGTGATAAAGAGAAGGTACATGACAGAGGTCTGCAGAAGGGACAGGAGGGCGTGGTGAGTAGAGTCTGGGAAACCACTGGAAATCAGGAGTTGGTGAGGATGTGGACTGGGGAGAATAATACAGATCATGAAGGGATTTCCAGGAGTCAGTAACCTGAGGACACACTAGGTTCAGTGCTGAAGGAGGGGGGATTAAAATTAAGTCCAGTTTCAAGTTTGGGAGACTAGGCATGGCATTTACAAGGAAGCCCATTTACAATGGTTTGGAAGTGTTGAATCTGAGAATATATATAAGCAGAAATAGTATGTTTTAAGAAATTTATTTCAATAAGTACTTAAAAGTTTTGTTTTGTTTTGTTTTAAAGCAACCAAAATAAAGGGCCTAGCTCAGTACCCCCCTCAAAAAGGTACTTTTAGAAACCAGAACATGTCCAGAATTGGACAAGCACAGTGGTGATGTTAGTCTCAACCCGGATCATGCTGGGATGGCCTGAGACAGCTGTGTGACTCTCACATGCAAATACCAAAGCAGTGTGTTTTGGCAGGTGAAACGGAATCCCACCCCTGCCATTTACCGGCTAGAGTTATTTCAGTTCTCCTAGCCCGAGCGTGATTATTCTAGTGCCTACCTCATGGCTGTCGTGAGGGTTAAATGACATACTCAACATGAAGTACTTTGTGTCTGGAATGTAGTAAATAATAAATGTGCACACATATTCCCAATCCAAAGGCTCTGGTGTAGAATAGACCCTTATATCTAAGACCTCCGGGTAGAAACTATAGAGTAACAGACTGTGGGTGAGTGTGTGGGAAAACCTTCAAACGGTGATGTCCACATGTGGTGGGTTGCCATTGGAAGTCTGGTGTCTCTCACCACTAAAGGATGAGTCGCTTCACCCTACTTGGCGGTCACACCAGCTGACCTGCAGTCACAGATTAGGTCTAGAAAGTACCTTAGGTGATAGCTGGCATGACCTGAAAAAACAGCAGCCCAGGATGGTGGGGTCATTTGTCCAAGGTGACCTGTTTGGAAGGGGTGGGCCTGGGACTAGAGCCTGGGTCTTCCAGCTCTTTGCTCTGTATTACATTTCCTTCCTGGGGACTTCTGAAATCCTATTTCCTGATATTCCTTTTTGGCTCTTCGGAAACAGATCTGTTCTCTGAAACAAATGTTTTTAAACAAGTGTTTTTAAGAGGATGCAGAGTATATACTATGTGTTAGTTATCAATTATTGCACGACAAATGATCCCCAGACTTAGTGGCTGAAAACAGCAAATGAGTAGCATGTGTGTGAGTCTTGTTTAGGTGGCTCTGGCCCCAGGTCTCTCGCAGGTCTGCAGCTGGGGTGTCAGCCAGGGTTGCAGTCTCACCTCTGGGCTCCACCGGGGGCGGGATTGGGGATCCACTTCCAGGCTTACACGACTACCAGCGGGATTCAGCTCCTTGCCACACGCGTGACTCCGTAGGGCAGCTCACGGCACAGCAGCCCTCCGAGTAAGTGAGAGTGATTATGAGCTCCTAGGGCAGAAGGCACAGTGCTTTCGTTACCTGATCCTGCAAGTGACCTGCCTCATCTCTGCCTAATTCTGCTCACTAGCAGTGAGTCACCAGCACCCCCTCGGGGGAATGGCATTACACAAGGCACGGGTACCAGGAGGAGGGGACCACCGCGGCCCACCCTAAAGGCTGCCTACTGCACGCTAGATAATAGTTATAAAAATTAAATGAATAGAATTAAGTGTTATTGTTCAAAGACAAAAAAGATCAAAGACTTATTCTTGATTAGATGACTTCGTTTTTAAATCTTTTTTTTCACCTTAACAACAGTTCATACTCATCAGTTTTCTCGGTCTCTTCTTTCTCTTTAGGGGAAAAACGCATTTTTCAAAGACCTAACTTCAATTCAGTTATTACCTAGTGGGGAAATGGATGCAAATTTTATTTCTGTACGACAGCAGGTAATTACAGTTATTGGGATGACCACCTCTAAGGTGTTCTTGAGAGTTAACTTCCCTTTAAATTATGTGTCTTTTTTTGATAACTATTTTAATGGAAAAGCCACAGTAATTGACAGGAAAGTCAACGATTACTTGGATTTGCATATTTTTAATGAAACATACTAACAAGATGTTGCTCTCCTTCTTTGCCCATCGCCCATCTTCAAGTTCTTATTGAAAGTCGTCAGTGCAGCTGTCCAGGCCCGACATGCAGTCACGAAGGACAAAGGCTCCTCAGAAGAGGCAATGACCACTCTTTTTGGGAAAGACCAAGATTGGCCAGTGCTGGCCCTGGATCTGGCCCATCACCTTCAAGTTAGTGAAGATGTTGTTAGGAGGCATTATGTGGGGGAACTCTACAGCTATGGAGCTGACCACTTAGGAGAAGAGGTAATGATCACCCGGTGAATGTCATTTGGGCTCAAGTTTTAAAACTGATAGCTCGAGTAAAGAATCAGTAAAGTTGCCAATAAAGCTTTTTGCTTTTCCTTCTTTTGTTAGAACTTCTAGGCACAAAACGTGAAGAGAATTAAAATAAAAAACGAATCAGATTCCTGTTTCTGGTCAATGTTTAGTGTAACTCCTGCCGTATGCCGAGCCTGTTTTATGCAGAGGGACAGAACCATAAACAAAACAGACAGGGTGCCTTCCTCAGAATCCACAGTCTACTAGTAGGAGCAGAGAAGCATGCTCAATTCTGTACTGAGTGGTAAATGCTGTGAAGAAAATTCACAAGACCATGTGAATAAAGAGAAGTATAATAGGGTGGTCAGAGGTGACATGAGAGCTGAGCCCCCAAGGATAAGCAGCAGCCCAGCCACTCAGAAAACCAGGGGGAGCATTGCTAGAGGCAGAAAGAACACGAGGTCTGAGGTCAGGGACCAGGTCACAGGAGGTCTCATAGCCCACGGTTAGTCACGACATGATTTAATATAATCCCTTCTTTTGCCTAAAGCTTGAAAATGACTCCTGTAGACATGCTGAACTGAAAAATTAGGAGATAAGAGGCGGCCAAAGTCAGGTGATGAGAAGAAATTTGGGTTTTAAGTGCTGTTTGAATTGGGCTTTCTTTTCGTTGTATAAATGGCCATACCTCAGAAATGAAGTAGCCTCTCCTAGGCACCGAACTAGGCACGGGTGGTGCCTTTCCTAAAGGAAGCCCAGCTGTTAGCTTTTGCATGTTTGTTCGCGTTCATCTCCACAGGCCATCCTCCAGGTTCAGGACAAAGAGGTCCTGGCCTCGCAGCTGCTGGTGCTGATAGGGCAGCGGCTGGCGCACGCGGTGCTGCGCACGCAGACGAGGGAGGGGCTGGAGCTACTTGCCAGGCTGCCCCCGACGCTGTGCACCTGGCTGAAGGCCATGGTAAGTGCCGGCAGTGAGAGGAGTCAGCAGGTCACTGGATGTTTTTTCATGTGCATTTTCAATAGAGGAAAAATTTAAGTTTAATCTACTTAGTTCTGAAGAAAAGCATTTTTATTGGGAAATTACTCTCTGGCTAATGCTTAAGTTCAAGTAAGATGATTCAGTTGTATGTAACTGACGGGTTATTTTTGTGTCCCATTTGCAGAACCCCCAGGATCTTCAAAACACAGAAGTGCCAATTGCAACAACAGCTAAACTAGTAAATAAAGTAATTGAGCTTTTACCAGAAAACCACGGGCAGTATAGTTTAGCCTTACACCTCACTGAAGCTGTGGAAGCCATAGCTATTCCTCCTTTATGACACTTTATCTACTGTAAACAGTCTAAAATTGTGTGACTATAATATGAATTAGTGCATGGTTATTTTACACAGTAAGATCTGGAATTTCATGGAGGGAATATGGTTTTTTTCCTTTTGTAAAATAAATAAAAATACATTATTACTTTTAAAAAGTGCAGTCTTGGCTAAATTCCCCTCCTTTGGTTAATACTGATGATAAAATACGAACAAGTATCAATTACACTATTAATTCCTCTTGCAGATGTTTGACTATTTTTAATTCAAGCACTTAAGTAGCTTTATTGTTAAACTTTGCTATTTAAAGTTGGTTATAATTTACAGATTATGTTCTTAACATTCTATACTTCGTACTCAAAACGTTATTGTAATTAAATTTAAACGTGTTCATGTATAGTCCCCGCCAGTTATATGAGAGAAGTACACCACTTCCTTTTTAGTAAATGTTGGGAAAACGCTTTTGTTATCATGCTTGGTCCCGTACTGCGGCACTGCCCCCTGGAGCTCTGGATGCTGACAGGTTTCTTTCCCAGAGGTTATGCTGTTGCCATCAGAGGAGGATGACCCTGCCTGTGGCGGAATAATGGGTTCAAGATCATATATTCATCAGAATGGACACCAAATAGAACCCTTAGCCTGCTGTACTTGCCAAAACAGAATCTAAGATGCAAGCAACACAGCAAAATTAATTAAAATGCAAGTTAAGATTTGCTTTTTGCCAAGATTCAAAGCTGTATCCACATCAGGTAATTGTAAAAATGTATTATCTTGTAAAACTTACATTTAAAAAAAAGGGGCAAAGATGCTAAAAATCTAAGGTCCAACTTTATTTTTCCTACGAGTGTTTTGAGATGTCTGCTTCTGGGATTTGGTAATGTTACCTGTTCTTAAGAACAATACAGAAAATGCTTAGTGATGATACTACAGCTTTAGCGAACCTACCTCACAGCTGGCTTGAGAGGATATATACAACTAATTTTGTATTAGTTGTATACAACTAATAGTTGTATACAGTATACAACTATAGTGCCTAGAGCAGTCCAAGTGCTGAATAATCATTTGTTGATTAAAACCAAATTAACCAAAAAACTGTAAACCAAAACTCTGTAAAGAGCTGTACAAATAACACCAAGTATTTATTATGGTAAATCTTTGGAATGTAGCCATACAGTGCGAGTACTGACATGTCCTGGATCACAGTTGTTATTCGTAGCAACTCGTTGTGATACCGAAGTTTGTTCTTCACTTCCTTAGGAAGAAGCCAACTCTCGCAATTGTACAAATTTGAGGCGTTATATCAGGAACATAAAGGAAAAGTCTGATGTTTGAGGATATCCCAGTGTAAATTCTTTTTAACTAAGAGATCACATCCAAATAAGAACTGTCTAAAACTTACTTAATAATTAGTTTCATTTGTCGATAAAATCTTGAAAGATTAATTTTCAGATGTCTTGAGGACGTGGGGTGAGGGCCTTGTATGTCTGATTGAGGCACACGCTGCAATAGAAACACTGAAAACGACCTCGGGCTGGTCTAGCCTCTCAGCCTCTGCTGGGATCTCTGCTGCCCCATCCAGACACATTTATATGATTTCTCGTAAACGTGTCTAGCTCTATATAGTCACTTGCGTATATTCTGAAAGATTAGTTCTTTCTGTGACTTTTCTAAATACTCTGAAAGTAGTTATGAACCTTGGAGGCTGGTCAAAGAAACTTGGAATTACAGGCGTTTTTAAAGATTAATAAATCATAGTCACTTTGATTCCGTTATCACTTTTGGGGGAGAGGGTATCTAATAAGCATTTTAGATAATAAAACTGGCTGAACTTATTCTAGTAGGACATGTAATCAAATTTGGGGATTGTTGAGAATATTAATCAGCTGAAATACGGCTCCTAGAACCATAACATCGAGGCTCTAGTTAGATTTATAATCCTAAACTTTGCCATTCAAAGAATTTTAAAATTGAATTCTCAGTTGTATGGTTAAAAAAAGCAGTTAAGTATTTTACTACTTCATTAAGGGCTTTTAAAATAAATCCGATAGAGGAAAGGAAAATAAATACCTGTGTATGCATCGTGTAACCATGAAGAGCCACAAATAACGATACAGAATGGACAGTTTCTGAAACAGGTATGTTGCACATACTGCAGTTACTGGTGGGAAACCGATAACCAGCGAGTAGTGTTTTCTTAGATCTACTCCCACCGCCAGCCCCCCAATACACCTTTCCTCATGAACATTAAATAGGCATTTTATACCTTGTTAAATTCTGTTGTATAATGCAAAGGAAAACAAAAGTGTTCAAATAATCATAAATTCTACATTACAGGTTGTATTTAGATGTAGAACTAGAAGAGACAGGATAAATGCAAATAAAGAGGAATATAGCACACCAAGCTTCTAAATGGTTCATGCTTTTGCAAAAAGAAAAATGAGGTATGGAGAAAAGTGTTTCACCTTTGTTATAAAAATTAAACTAAGGTCGAAGTAAACACTGTTCAATTTAAATTGCTTTCTTTAAAAAAGAAATTGATTACAGTTTAAAATCACAGAAAACTCAGATTTAATAACACTAAGCATACATGGAATAATAAGTTCACTTAGCAGTTGCTGTGGTTCATTTCACTTATAAGAGACAAATATTTTTAAAGTGCTCAATAGCAACAGTGAAAGCCCTCTCTCACCCTGACAGGAATGGGTTTGCTGTATTTCTGCTAAACAGAATTAACCATCCTTGGAAAGATTTTAATCCAGTACTGAATTGTTTATAAAATGCCCTATTATCTACTGTAATGTATTGTAAGTAGTCAAATTCTGTATATACTGCTATTTTCTGTGTCTCTTCATTGTAGTGAACTTTTATGTGTATTAGTGAAATAAATTTTCAGCTTTCATGTTGTTTCCTTAACATTTATAAATATAAGTATTAAGATACTTTCCGCTCTTACAGGAGAATAACAAACTTGGTGATGTCTTCGCTTCCGAGGCAACCCAAAAACTAGCTGTTCTGAAAAGGTCGGTGCGTGCTGTGAAGGCGGAGTGAAATTACTCTTGTCATCTCTTAAGCGAGACACCCCTCTGCCATTCCCCTTCAAAACCACAGGTTTTTTACTGGATATTCACAACTTTTGCACCACCATCAGTCAGTAATTTCCCAGGTGCCTTTATTTTTAGACATTATAGAACTTAAATACTGAGTCAAGAAGACTGATAAAATATAAAACATTTTCTGCTGAGCCACATTTGTAGGCAAGCATTTTCAGTGTCTATGTTCTGAGGAAGTCCATTATGGATCCATCTGCATAGGTATATTTTTCCATGTGTATATATACACGTTATTTTTTATTTAGTTACAGAAAAAACTTGTAGCTGTAACTCTGACTCTCATCCTCTATCACTTACTCTTCCACTCATTACCTAAATCTTGGATTTCTTTGCAGTGCTGTGCACAATCCACCTAAACCCCCAGGCAGTCCCGTCAGGAAGTTCTTGCTCAGAAAGCCCTCAACACACAGCGAGGTATTACTTCCCTCTCACAACTTCTGCGCATCGCGGACAGAGTGTGTCTGATGACTCAGCAGTGTACTTCCAACAGCGAGGGCATTTTTCCTTGGTAGTTGGCATGACAATTACTTTATATGAAGACTCTTCACGAATATCACCACCTATGAAAGAAAAACACGTGAAGAGTATTTTTGATAGGCCACTGAACTTGTACAACTCTTTATTTTTTAATTGGTAGGCAGGTGCTCCTTTTTCAAAGCTTCCTCCTTCCTGCCTTGGAAAATACTGCTTCGTTTGCACATTTGTACATAAACAAACAGCCAAGACAGTGGGCTCACTCACTCATATACAACCTGACTGACTGGGGAGAGATGAGGAATCTGAGACCCTGAGAGACCGATTTTTCCACAGGTCACTGAGTTCTGTATCTACTCAGGCAGAGCAGGCCTTCTAGCTCTTCATCTGGGTACAGTTCTGATAAATTACACTGCCTCTCCAGCTACATACTGGTTTAAGAATTTTAAAAAGAGCCAAATTAGACTGACAATGGCAGTGTCCCCACATTAAACTTCTTGGTTTGGACAAAAGGAAACAAAAACTTCTCCACAATGAATAGACCTCAGACTGGTAATGTACAGTAAAGAAAGTAAATTATTTTCTAGTCATTGCACAGAGAATGTAGATTAACATTTTGAAAAGCAAATTAAGCCAGAAGCTACTACATGGTCAATGCTGCCAGGCCTCAGATTTCAACCGACGCCTCCCACCTCCTGCTGGTACCTAAAAGCTATTATGAAAAGCACAGACAGCATCACTTTTCCCAAAATAGCTGCATGTTTTTCTCTCTTAACATTACTTGGCCTCCTTTCCATCAACGAGAATGAATTAAGTTGACAAAATCCCCTATCAAACAAATAACTACAAAATGCTTATATCAGTGTGGGAATGAGTTCAATAAAACTTCCTTGATTCTTCATTAACAGTGGCTACATGACACTTTAATTTGGGGTGAGCATAATAAGAAATTTTAGACTCAACAGTGGGGAAGGGTAGCAGGGCTGGGCAGGACTAAGTATCAAAGGACAGAGGGCACAAAAGTCAACCAAAGTAAGGTAGACTGACTTCACATGCAGTGACAATGACTTATTCCCTCTCCTCCCCCTACCCCTGTGTTCCTAAGATCGGCAGGTACGGCACTTTGAGAGCTAGTTTTGAAACCTGACCATTGTTGACACTGCTTCCATAGAAAACCGTATTCCAAGTGTATATATGTGCCTTTAGAATACAAGTAGTCCACTGCAAAGCTGGAGATGACCTATAATTATCATTCAGTTCCCCAGATACCGCTGTTACTCTCACATCCTTCTTACCTTCTAGGTTGATTAGAAATGTCCCTTTAAGCTCAGTGACATCTGCAGTTACTGCTCGTGGTTCCTGAGAAAGCAACGTTGTCTGGGATGCCATCATTAATTCATTCAGCTGAGAGGTGCTGGAAGTCTCCTCAGCCTGTAGCATCTGGGCACGAGCAATTTGCAAGTTACTATCTATCTAAATTAAGCTGTTACCATAAACAGGTTATAAAAAGAGATGCTGCAAGTTCTTGTGTTTGGTGAGGAACCCTTTGGGACCATTACCTCCTGAGCTAATACTATTAAATAAATCAATTCTTACTAGTATAAAAAGGTAATAACTAAAAACTTCTAATTAATTATATTGATTGAGAATACACTGTAAGCCAGGCACTTCACTTTGCTAGATGGCTAAATGTCCATCCAGTATTTGTAATGATCACAAAACAGCTACAGTGTTTTTTATCCCCATTTTACAAGTGAGGAAGCTTGCTCAGAGAGGTTAACTTGCCAGGCGTTCCCGACCAGTAAACAGTGCAGCTGCAGTTCCAGCCCAGGTCTGTCCACCTCAGAGCCCATACTTCTTCCCTGTATCATGCTTCCTACAGTAGGAGAGGGGTTAAGATACTATCTAAACAAGGATCTGCTTTTAGCAGTGTAGACCAATGGTGACAATCTGAGTAATGCACAGAGCTCTTCTGAAGCACACAATCTGGATATCTGATAAGCACTCTTACATTTTTTGTTGTAATTTCCATCTTCAAAACGAGTGTGTGAGCTAAGTAATACAAACTTCCTTAAGGAAAAAAAAAAATCAGCTCATGACAAAACAGGAGATTCAGAGATTAATTTGGTTTTAACAAATTCATACAGTTAGTAACTGACAGATCCAGGACTCCATTAGCTGGTTAGTGTAATTCCTAAGAAAAGTACATTCACATTTTTGAAAATCCCAAAGTATTTTTTTTCCAATATAAATGATCCAAACAAGCTGTATTGTTTTCAGCTTATTACTCAGACCTAATGAAGTCAAAGGAAACATGACATGTAGGGGGAAAGCCCAGTACTAACTAGGCTGTGTGGCCCCAGCCAGGTCACAGCTTCAATGGGGCTCAGTTTCCTGGCTCATAAAATGGAGTCATCAGATTCCCAACTTGTAAATTTTAAAATGTGAACATCTTACCAAAATTCTGTTATCTGATCAACAATCTTATACCTACTGGCTATGTCAAGCCTCAAATCTTAATCAATTTAATTATATTATTAAAAGTTTAAATTGAAGTGCCAACCAAATGAGATGGTCATTTTTTAGTAAACTATGATACCAGTAAAACTTTTTTAAAAAACATATTCACTACCAATTTTCTTCTCAAACGTTAAAACTAGAGAAAAATCTTGAGTCTATGTTAAGCTATAAGTCAGTCTGCCCAATCAACCCCTAAGAATTCCAAGAAGAAACTTCTGATGGCCCTTTTGAAAATTAAAAAATAGGATGAATGCTTTGAGATGACATGATAATTTGCTGGAGCAAATGAATTTTCTTCAGATCTCATGAGAAAAAGATAAAAAATATTTTTTGGGATTTGTTTTGAATCTGGTCCAGATGGACAAAATTCTCAAAAGCTCCCGATTTTTGTGTATTCTGATACGACTGCCATATTGTCTAATTAGCCCTGAGGGCTTACATTTCAAATAGAACTTTATTACACCTTCCCATCCCAACCTAAAAAATAAGTAGCAACAGTACATGTTTCAAAAGAGAAGAAAAAGGAAGCACAGAGAAGTTGGAAACAGAATCAGTGATTAGTATTAGGATTAGAAAACAGAAATCCTAATTTATAAATTTTTAAAAATATATTATTTACACTGAGATTTTTTAAAACTAAATTTCACATGAAGCTGTATGATATGAACACCATTTCAAAAGGAACAAATTTCTGCTTACTTCTATTATCTCAAAAAGCAGTCCAGGCTCAATCACAATGATAACCTCATACTCAGCTGCATTTCTGCCAGGGATGCTTCCAAGAAATGAATCTCTCATCGCACATGCACTCTCTATTGCTTCTTCCAGTCCAGGCTTCTTCCAGATAGAACTGGTTCTAATCCATCCGGTACGAAAAACACTCTTGGGTTCTTATAAAAAAAAAAAAAAAAAGTTAACCAATTTACATATATTTTAAACTGTATATAAAGCTCAAACCATTAAATATTTACTATGCATGGAAAATAAGAATTATTATTTATGACAATTAGCACGGAGCCATCCTAAATGCTTACCATTTATATCAACATTTGGAAATGTAAACAAAGGATAAAGATATACAGTGAGATCTCAAAGGATGCCTAGAAGAAAATAAAATAGAAATATCCCAATATTACAGTAGTTGTCTCTGGGTTATAAGTAAGATCATGAGTGACTTTTGTCCTCTTTCTAAAATTATACAGTTTCTAATTTTCTGTAAGCTTATTAATACAACCAGACAGAAAAAACTATTATAAAAATATTCACAGGCACTATATGTTTGTTTTAGTAAAAGCCTAAAATATATTTCTGACATTTATAAAGGTATTTAAGAAAAAGTGATTTCTCAATATAGTCAAGCTGCTAATACATTTCAGAAAGCACTTTAAGGTGGCATGAAGACCACGCTGAAATTCATCCTACTCCACACACAGGTGCAGAAACTACTAAATGATCGAGATGAAAAATGATCGAGGCCACAAAACAGTCACTGTAGATGAATAAGTGCCTCTTTTGTGAAGTAGGTAAAATGAGAAGCTGCACCCTTAGCCAGGGTCTTTCTCATTCAGAGAACAAATCAAGTATTTCTTACCTTTAATGTAAGGTACGTACTGGAATACCTCTTCAGCCAAGTGAGGAAGAATGGGAGCAAAAGAACGAACCATTACATCCAAAATTTCGGCTAGCGCAGTCTGACAAGAGCGTCGTTTGGGATCATCTGCATTTTCACAATAAAGCCTGTTGAAGAACAACTTATTGAGCGGTTGGCAACACTTTGTACACGATGACTGCCAAG